CACGACCGAAGATTCAACCCTAAGCGATAGAAACCTGCTTGTTGCTTCGGGTTTGAAGCGTTGCATGCACGAAAACAAAAAGGCCACCGACGCAGAACAACGCTCAGCTTCCCTTTTGGTGTTGCTCAGAGGTGCAGGCTCTGGTAATGCAAAGAACAGTTCTACAATGCATGCTCGACTTATGCACACTGAATCCCATGCAGATCCTGAGGATCTGGTTCTACCCCCGCTCCATCAACCGGTAAAAGAACCAGGACCCCTTGCGATCACGGTGCGTCGGCTGGACGCCACCGACTGATGCGGAAGGAAATCCTGCGGCGTAAAGAGTAGTAAGGAAAGGGGGCTTAGACTACCCTAATTAATTTTGTTTTTTGGTCCCAAAACCCTGCAAAACAGCCAAATTCTCCATCCAGCTGAACGTTTTTCCGATGTCACCGGTCTTTGTCACCGCTCTGTTTTTGGTGCAAAAAGCGCTCAAAACGGCCAACTCCGAAAAGTTCGTTTTTCGTGTCAGAGCGGGGCAGCTTGGGGCTCCGGGCGTACTGCTCCATGACGCCGGGCGCCACTCGGCTCTCCAGGCTGGCGGGCTGCGCGCTCTCTTTCAGCGTCTTCTTGCTGTGACTTTTGCCGCAAGCGCCTGCAGAGTTTGCACGCTGCCCGCAAAGGCACCGGCGCAACGTGGTCGCAGGTGCCGGCCTTCAGCCCGCAGCCGGGCGCACTTGCCGCCTGCCCGGCCAGGGGCACCTCTCGTTTCGCCTTCAGCAGCTTTAGAAAGCGTGCGCCAAGCCGGCCAGCCGCTGGCCCCGGTACTCCTGCCCCAGCGCCTTGCACCACCTCTGCAGCACCTCATGCTCCTCCGGCAGCTCTTGGATCCTCGTGCACCGCCTTAGCCTCAGCCTGCACAGGGCTGCTGATGGCCACCTTGGGGCTCTCGCCGACGGCCATAAGCTGCCGCGGCGCCTTCTCCACTCTCCGATGGGCGGCAGGGTCGCCTCGCCTCGCCCCGGTAGAGCACGCGCGCCGCCGCCGCTCCAGCACCCGCTTCACGGCCCTGTACATGTAGCAGCGCCCGTCGAAGGCCCTTCAGCGCCGGGTTGTAGCTGTCGCCCTGCGAGCTCAGCACCGCATCGGGGCGTTGCGCCACACGCAGAACTCCTGGCGGAGATGCCACGGCGCCTCCAGTCGTGGCGCAGCATGGCTCGAAGTCGGCGCACACCTCCTCCACGCCCAGCTGCGGGCTTGTCCTCGAAGGCGCTTGGCAGCACCTCCTTGCAGGGAGCTGGAAGCTCACGCTTTTCAGGCCCCTTATGCGCTGGCGCAGGAGCGTCTCCACCTCGGTCCTTGAGTTCCGATATTGCGGCTCTGGGTGCTGACCACCCGTGCCCCTCAGCGTTGAGGAAGTAGTCTCGTCCAAGAGCGGGCCGGCCGGGCCGCTGCGCTGCGCCACCTGCTCCTCCGTAAGGTGGGCCGGGTGCCTTGTCATGGCCCCGCAGCTCGTTCACCGGCAGCCCCCCCCCGCGTTCCGCCCGCTGCACTGGACCAGGTACTTGTAGAACTTGTCGCGGAAGAAGCCCTTGCCCAGCTGGTCAGTCTCCGCCCTGCAAGGAGCGCACAAGCTCCTTCCGCCCGTTGCGCAGCAGAATGTAATTGTTGGGCCCCTCGCGGATGAGGGGCTGGTTGAGTCGAAGTCCCTGCTGGGAGGCCGCAGGTGAGAGTAGAGCGCTGGCCCGCCCGGGACTGCCCGTCCACACAGCGTGTAGGCGGGTCCGCGCCGCAAGTTCAGCACGACGGCTCCATCCCCCCTGCGCGAGCCCGGCGCGGCTCCGTGATCTGCTGTTGTTGTCTCGCCCAACTTGCCATTCTTTTTTTACGGGTCCATTTTTTTTGCTTGGCCGCGCGCATTCTCCCGGACCATCTGTGCGCAGATGGTTGGGAGAATAGCTTTTTACACGGTTTTTGTCTCCCGATTCCTATTCTCCCCGGTCATACGTGCACGCATGGCCCGGAGTTTGGGGGGTACATGCCGCAAAACGAGCTATTACTCCGGCCCGTATATAGATATACGGCTAAAGAATAGCATTTTGTAGCGCAAAAACCATGCAAAACCAGCTATTCTCGCGATCATACGTGCACGTATGATCGGGGAAAAGACAAAAACCGTGTAAAAAAAAGCTATTCTCCCATTCCCTGTCAGGCTGTCGCGTGGCGAAGAAGCGCGGTCTGGCGCTGGGGGAATCTCCAAGCAGGCCGAGCAGGCGCAGTGCGAGCAGGCACTTGAGGTAGATGCGCCGAGCTGGCACTGTGCCGAGCGGGCACGTAGGATTAGTACTGGCTTGCCCAACGCCCGGCTCCTTGCTATATGTGCTATATGTGCTATGTGTGCTATATGGGTCTACATGCCAACCCGCTGAACCTCACACTCCCTGGGGTCCTTGCTATATGTGCTATATGTGCTATGTGGGTCTTACACGCCAACCCACTGAACCTCCACACTCCCTGGAGTCCTTGCTATATGTGCTATATGGGTCTTACACGCAACCCGCAGAGCTGTATACTATACACATAGCATCTCAACATGCACCAAATATGCATTGTGTAGCACATATAGTGTATTTAACGTGCGTCTCAACACCATATAGTACATATAGCAAGGACTCCGGAGAGTGTGGGGTTCAGTGGGTTGACGTGTAAGACCCAGAAAGCACATATAGCACATATAGCAAGGAGCCAGGGGACTTCTGCGGTTGGTGTGTGACACCCATATAGCACATATAGCACATATAGCGAGGAGCCGGGGGAGAGTGGAGGTTCCGCGGGTTGCCTTGTGAGACCCATATAGCACATATAGGACATACAGCAACCCCGGGAGTGTGGGATGAGAGCAACCCCGTTTGGGTTTGACACGGTCCGCCCAACGACACTTGGCTTGCCCAACGTCTATTTTTCGACGGGCTGCCTTGGAGTTCCCTCTCATCTTTCCGGGGGCAGACCGATTTGACCTGTTGATCCGAGATGCGCGAATCGGAGAGGAGTTTCCAGATCACCGCCAAGGCGCGGGTCAAACAATGCTTGCTTGTGACTCGAGCGCCTGCTTGCCGTGGCGTGGTGCGTTCAACAAGCCAGCATGTGGCTGATTCGGGCGGTTTCCGCATGTCACGAGCCTCCACCGCGCCAGTTTCCGCATGTCACAAGCGTCCCCCGGGCCAGTCTCGCTCGGGGGCGGCTTCCGCATGTCACGAGCGTCCACCGCGCCAGTCTCGCTCGCGGGCGGTTTCCGCATGTCACGAGCGTCCGCGCCAGTCTCGCTCGCGGGCGGTTTCCGCATGTCACAAGCGTCCACCGCGCCAGTCTCGCTCGCAGGCGGTTTCTGCATGTCACGAGTCAAAGACGAGCTCGCCAAAGTTGTTCATGAAGTCTCTGAGCAAGAGCACGGTGGTCGCCTCCTCCTCGGCCTTGGTCGGGCAAGTTCAGGTGGATGGGCTGGCGCGGAGACTGAGGCTTCGCGTTCTGCCAGACCCATCCACTCATCAGGCGCTTCCGGCTCCACGGGCTCCGACTTGGCGTCGACGAGCTCATCGAGATGCGCAGAGCCTGCTTGCATCCGATGCTGTTGTAGTCCAACAGCTTCCGCATCTTGTCCGAGTCCAGCACTCGGCTCCCCATTCTCACAAGTCGCGGAAGGCTGGCGGACAGCGGGTCCGCTGCCGCATCGCGCCTCGTGTTCGCACTTGGAGCGGGACATCGCGGAGGTTGCGTGAAGGCTGTCTCTTTTATTGAGTCTGCAAGGAGTTCGCCACACAGGCCCGAGCGTGCGCGAGGCAGACCTCTTGGACTGCCTGTACGAGGTGGGCAAGGAGAAGTACCAGTGCAAAGGCTGCACTTGGGCGGCGTGGCGCCTATGGGCCAAGCTCAGCAGACCGTTTTCCGCCGAAAACCGGCTCCAGCGTGCTCCGAATTCCGTTTTCTGCCTGGAAAAGCCTGCGAATTCCAGCCCGCTGAACTCGTCACGCTTGTCACCGTTCGTCACCGCTCGCTTTTTGGGTGCAAAAGTGCGCAAAAGCGGCCCCTGTTGACCCGCACGGCTGCGCTGATGAGCCGCAGCTTCTGCGAGCTCACCCAGGTGCTGCATGTGCCGGCCCCGGATGAAGAGAGTGTCCAGGGCGCCGTGAGGCTTGTGCAGCTGCGGCGTGTCAGCAAAGTCGTCGATGACACAAGCACCTGGTACAGTTTCTTCATTTCCAACTTCTTGGACGCCTCCGTGATCTTGCTGCTGGATGATGCGCCGCAGCGCCGCCTCGTCCCACTTGTCCCAGTAGGTCTGCTCCCGCTCCGTGTTCACCCCCAGGGCCTCCTCGATGTACTTCTTGACGGGATCCAGCCGTCGTCTATGTTGACACTAGTTTCCGATAAGATCAT